TATATATTTCATTTTGCTGTAAGACCACAGCCAGCTCATAATCAATTGCTATAGCTAAAACTGCCAACTTCTGCGTCGACCCTCGCATACTTATCGCAAAAGTCTGTCTGGCTGGCAGCTGCTTTATACTTAACTTGGCAGCTAAAATTTCACTCTAATATGTACATTACACTCGTAATGTATGCGTGTATGCGTATGCGTATGCGTGTGTGTGTGCGCCTGGAGATGAGGAACTGCGGGGGCGAGTACCTTGTTGCTGGGTACTTGAGCAAAAGTCCTGACAATATCATATGCCAATGCTTCTTATTCAAGTGGTTGGCCTCCGTTGATGCTTTTGTTGTTGCTCATCTTTTGGCCAGATTGTAAGCGGCTTATTGTTGTAAATCATGAACTTTTATGACTGCCCCGATTGTTGCTGTTGCCGAGTTGAATGAGTTATTTCCGAAGAAGCATATGGGAATTGGGCATTTATAATGCACTTTTTGCACTGAGAATAAGAGGGAGAGGGAAAGGGAGAAGTGCTTGAAGAGTGCTCGATTTAACTCTACATCAAATACATTTGCAGCCATTCAACTGCAGGCCAAATGTGTCCATTAGCCGTTCAGATATGTGGCTGAGCCAAAGTGAATATGGTATTTGATATGGCCTACATGACGTCCTGTGGGCCACAATCATAATCATTCACTTAGCTCGCACTTTAGACTTTTGGCTAAGCCCCAGCCTTAGCCGCCATCGCTCGGCTCCATTCCCCAGCAGCGAATCTCATCTGAATTTTAAGCAGCGTCTGTCTGCCTACACGTAGACAAGTACAAGACAGTTGGAATACAAACTCTGATATAGCCAGATATAGCCAGATACAGATACAGATACATCTTATACAAAACATTTTCAAGTGCACAGACACTTCTTGCAAAGTTAGAGTCTGCGTGTGGCTCGTCAATTGTAATACAGTCATCTACACCCACTCACACATATACACATGCACAGAGAGATAGAGGGGGAGAGAGAGACTGGTTTGTGGAGGCGGAGAGATATTGGCCAACTGTTCTGTGTCAGCTCCATGTTGGCATTGTCAGCAACCACTTGTTGTTGTTGTCATTGTTGTTGTTGTTGCTGTTGCTATTACAGACGCTGCCTTTGTGCTGTTATTGTTTGGCATTGGCTCTCGTTGTTATGCACATAAGCATAAAATATTAATACCCTTAACTTCAATAGCAAACAGTAAAAAA